TTCCATTAGAATAAAAGAAAATCGGTAAATTTTAAACATTAATCCTTAGCTTTTACCCAAAATCCTTTATATCTGCACTGTTCATTTATTTGATGGGGCACAATGATTTCTTCGTTAAATAGGTTTATACAAGTTATAAGTTCCTTTAAAGTTTTTACTACTAAGCAAAATAAACAAGATTTAGAACGAGTTCTACTCACTAGGTTTATCACTCTTGCTCGACAAATTCTTTTGGCCATCATTACTGCCCAACTAATAAAATGCCCCCTGAACGGTCCAAACGTGAATAATAACCTTTGTTATCTCTGGACGTAGTGGCTATTAATGAGTAAGGATTGGATATAGGAGAACAAGTGTGGATATGCTTAAGTTGTCCATATTTGCATGTCATTGTATACCACTCACTTTTGCATCGTTAGACTTGCTTCTCACTAAAGCAGGATAGAGATTAGAATATACTCTCTTGATGAGACTAGATGGACAGATTGACTGGATGTTTGCGCATATGTTTGATGGATGTAATAACCTTACGACATCCAGTAGCAACCAAGTCACTGCGGGTCGCCACATGTCTGTTGGGCGTCGGATTGGAAGAACGGTAGACGGTTGGTCGAAGGGAGTGTTGCTAACAGCAGGGATTACCGGGTAGCTGCTGCCTTTCGGGCTTTCTAGCCGAGAGGTTGGCGAAGGTGTTGGAGACAGTCTCCTGCCCTATTCAATACCTCGTCACGGCATGGGAGTGGAAATCTGACAGGTATATGAGGGCTATATTTTTCTCGCTTTTTAAGCCTTTTTTTGCATGTATTTCCTATTTTTTATACACATTAGGAGGTTGGGACTGAATGCCATCATTATAAATGTGCTTTGTCGTAATGGCAACGGCGATTTTAGGATGGCGACAGTTAAACTATTTGCAGCAGGCTCCGACTCCAACGCCTCACATCGTTGTTTCTCGTGTTTTCATTAACTTCATAAAAATACTTTGGTATAATCCCACTAAAGGCAGGCTTCATCATTATTAATTGCGAACCGGCTTTGGGGTGAGCATGGGAATTCCTCATGTTAATTCGATAATGATCATTACTTGGAAAATACCTTTATTCTCGATATGAATAAGTTTCGAGAGCATTAGCATTTTTTGAATGAGAACTTAGTCACCTTAGTTCACTTGAAGCAATGGTTCCCAAACTTTTCATAGTCGCGGCGCCCTTTTTCAATTAAAATTTTTCCATGCCTCCCTACTCTAAGTATGACTATTCGTAAGTAAGAGATAAAAATAAATAAAACTAGTGTATCTTCATTATTTTTTTTACTTTA